TAAAAAGCGATATTAATTCGTGCTTTTAAAAAGCAATACTCGTACTGTTTTTCTTATAGACATACCACGCAGTAAGGAAGTAAGGAGAACACAAAAGAAGTGTACTCTACATCTCAAGTACCTCGTCGTTTCCTTACGTGCTTCACAATAGAACAATGTTTTAAATTTGAAAAGCTTTATATTTGCTTTCCAATAAAAGGATGCTTATTTGCTTATTTTTGTAAGTTTGACTTTAGTTTACAAAAAAAACCAATTGTTTTGAAAACTTTTAAAATCTCGAAATCTTTCAAATATATGAGTTTATTTTCCGACTATAAAGGTCCTCCCATTTTCGGGGGAGGGCGGAATACCCCGCATTTCATATTTCCGTGTTTTTTTTTGACATTTTGTTCTCGAAAGAAAATCAAAGGGGAACTATAAAGAAGTCGTGGATACATTGCTTACAAAATGGAGAGGTCTGCGTCCACCAGCTGCTATATGCTTGAAAGGGTTTTGAAGATAATTAACAAGGTCATGCAAAAAAGTCAAAATGACTCTGCCCTTGAAGCACAATTTTTATGGTTTTGTCCATTACAATGTAAATGTTTATCCAACCCCGAAAATTGAAGACTTGAAATATTTTTTCTTGACACCTTTGCGGTCCTCACGAATTTCCTAGAACACCTCGTTCTTCTGGGACTTTTTGCGTTACCCTTCCGTAGAAAATTTTGTGTACATCTAGTTTTCCAACTGTGTTTCGTACCTTTGGCTACAAGAGTGTTTTGTTTGGATGGACTGATAAGTTGTGCTACTGACGTTTCCAGTAGCTCTGTTTATGTTTGATTCAAAGACTCTTCTAGCTTCACATTTAATCTTTAGTCATCTCTATACACAAAGTTAAACCTTTTAGTCTTTCTACTAGCAATGACACGGCTACATATGTGCTGCTGCAACGAGTATGAATGGAGGAAAGCCGAAGTGTATTTCAACGCATTACCTCGTGGCATTACTTCGGATAGTGGTACATTGGAAATTGGATATTGGTCGTTGACATATCGATTTGTTTACATCTAAGTGAGTGACCTCTTGGCATATTGTGAAACAATCGATATTGGTCGTTGACATATCAATTTGTTCACATCTGGGTGCTAAATTTGCATATTTTGGCACCTAACGATACTCGTTTCTGCGCTTCGCGTATCCAGGACCAAAAATGAATACGACAACTACGAAATTTTCGCTTAAGAAACATGCTTCAACGTGATCATGCAATATACACACCGATCTACGGGTATAATACGAACTCACAACGTGACCAGCTCTCTAGAGTATTTATTGGCCTGCCGCTGTTAATACGAGGAGGTACCGGGACTCTGTTCTTTTGATTTTTATTTCTCGGACTATCGTCTTGCACAATATTCGTCTAACTTTCACCTCTTTTACCTCTACTACTTAACTGACAAATGCACTAGCACTTAAATACCAGATCGGTAGCTATGTGTTGGCCATTTTAGAATAAATACTAACCCGAAGACCTTCACGCGCCTTTCAGTAGCGAACTAAAAAGTTCTTAAAAAAACAATGGAAGTAAAAGTTTGGAGAACAAGAAACCTAAACAGGATCTTTGTGGGAGATTCAGACCAAGGCCAGCACACAAACCCAAACATGACCATCGATGGGGTATCATCAAGTCTATCCGCGCCAGTAGGCGCCGCGTAAGGCCAGTGAGGTATTGTTCGAAGCTGAAGTGCTCTCGACAAACTAAGATAAAAACCTTGAGGTCACTAAACTCTCTGTGTGGCCCTAGAATAACAAGACTAACGTGGGAACTACAAAATGATAAACAATTCATGATCACGAACCAAAAATACTCAATTCTAAACAAATTACCGAGCTTCATAACATATTGATGCGGTATCTATTTATTTCAGGTGGGGACAAAAGAAGGGCTCGACGAGATATTCAACCTGAATATCGTGCTGCAGAAAACTGGAATGATACCGGTATCTCACCTACGTCTTCGCAGTGGCACTCATCTACAACTATTTCGCCAACTCTGAATAACGATGATGTAAACATCACAATGCTTTGCGAAAGTTACTGGTTTTCCTGCAGAGGGCGATGCACGCAAGATAGAGAACTGGGAGGAACAGAAGAAAGGCTTCAGTGTTTCTGTGACAACAGCTGTGAGATGTTTCAAGACTGTTGTGCGGACTTTGACCAATTCTGCTCCTCAACTGGGACGTTAACAGAAGAAGCAGAGACTCCGGACTATGAGCATTGGAAATGTATCGAAAGTCATTTATTGACTGAAGCCCGTGGTGTGTGGATGATTGCCTCGTGTCCTACAAACTGGACCCAAGAGGACATTGACGAACGCTGTTGGAGTAGCTTTGCAAGTCTTTCTTACGATAATCATAAAGACAACTTGCCTGTCATGGACCACACAGGAAATACGTATAAAAACCGATACTGTGCACAATGCCATGGTTTAAATCTAGATGACCTCACGTTTTACAATTTGCTGTTTAATTGTCACGTTCCAGCACCAAGCGATTATCAAAGCAATGACATACTGCAGTTCTTATTTGCGTTCTGTGGCAAAGCTTATTGGAAGACTCCAGAAGGCACAGTTCGAAGATATTGTTACGGACTCACAGATGGGTGCCCGGATTGCTTTCCTCCGACTAGAATGCAGGAAAAATGTCGTGCTGGATCTTTAAGGTTAGTTTATGTAAACGATACAGGAACGCAACAGAATTTTATCAATCCATATTGTGCTCTCATCAACAACGCAAAAAACATTGGGTGTGGACCAGGAAGTTCAAAACCGCAGTCTGAACCGCCGGAAGTTCTAAGCCCGAAGCCCTTTTCTCTTGTTATGAATATTGACTTTTCTGATGAACAAACCGGGAAAGAGACGTCCAGTGTTCGTATACACAAAGTTTCTTGCCTTGAAGGCAATGTTTATGACTTTCATCTTCAAGTGTGTCGCCCCGGCATTTCACCAACCGAGTTCAATTCCGTCCATCAAGAACTCCTCAGCGTCAGTCTTTGGATGCGATCCAAAATCTCATCTTCCTCCACTCCACTAGTAACTGAAATCAACTCCAAAGAAGCCATTGTGGATAAGTTGAACATAAGCGAAACATTTCTCTCTGTAGTCTCTATTGGAAACCCTTTTGGTCCTGTCTCTACAGTGGTGTTGAACATAGAGATTAACCCCACCACGAAGAAGAACCTGTCTATGAAAACTGTCCGAACTGCTTTAAGCCATCTTTCCGTTCAGCTAAATAACGCGAGTTTCACTGTCTTTAAAATCGCCGTCAAACGTTTTGATTGTGCTTCAATTGCGAGTTACAAGCCATATGAATACACGGTCGAAAACAGGGTGGTGAAAATCAGAGACACAGGAGAGATCATTCTAGAGGAAAACTATTACACAAACGAAACAGAATGGATAAACGGGTCTCTAGTTCCCGTCGGTACCCTTACAGTTTGTAAAAAAGAGCGGGTAAACTGTTCTGGAGTTTTAGTTCGGTTAAACGAAAGCGAATACGTTATCTTAATAAACGGTTCATTGTATCGAAACATTTCACGTGAGCTCTTTGAACCAGAAAGGTTTCTTTCCATCAATAATACTACCTGGGTTTGTGCACACTTTTCTTCCTCTTACGAAGCTGCTCGTAATACAACGGAGACGAAGAAAAACATTGTACTGGTTTTGCTAACCTTTATTGGACTCTCAGTGTCCATTGTTAGCTTTGTTGCAGTCTTAGTGACCTATGCATTGTTCAAGGAACTGCGAACTTTACCCGGAACTAATCTGATGAATCTTTCTTTGGCTCATTTACTGGCTGATTTGTTCTACCTTGCAACTGGGTACGTTGATGCCGGCGTAGCATGTACAATTATCGCCATCTTGCTCCACTACTTTTTCCTAGTTTCTCTCACGTGGATGTCAGTCATGGCCTTCGAAACTTGGGTGGTATTTTCCAAAATCCTTATCCAAAAGAGAAACCAAAATAAGAGGGAGAAATGTCTTAATTTATTGGGAAGGACGACATTGGGTTGGCTTCCCGCCTTTGTTTTTGTTGTCATGTGTGTTGCTCTTGACCAGTCCAACGCGGTTGCTTTTCACTATGGTGGTATCAAGGGGTGTTGGATAAACAACTCAACTGCCAATATGTTTTTCTTTGTTGTACCAGTTGCTCTTTCTATATCATTTAACACAATATTCTTTGCGTTGACTGTACGAGCTATCAGGAATACAACCAAGCAGACACAGAGAGCAATTCACCAAACCCTACACCGCAAAAACGCCGTCGTATTTTTAAAGATCTTCATTTTGACGGGCTTTACTTGGACTTTCGGGATTTTAAAGATTGCGGTGTCGGAATACTTTGAATACCCATTTATCATCTTCACCACTCTCCAGGGACTGTACGTACTGCTCGCATTTGTGTTTACAACAAGAGTCAAGCGAATGTATTGCGCGCTGTTGTGCATCGACAACAAGCTATCTGAGGGACAAGAAAGTACGCTGCGAACTAAAAGAGAGCTTGTTCCCCCTGTTGTTCTCCTTAAACATGTTGGAAAAAAAGAAGCATGAAGAAAGGAATGTCTATGGCAGTCTTTTCGGTCTACAGGAGACTGGGACCATAATCTGAAACCATGCCACATAGTGAACCACATGATGAGTACCATAATCATGAATTGTATTATTAATCCGTTATAAATCGCTACTAATTAAACTGTCTTGAAAATTGATAAGCCTCTGGGAGCTTAAATTGATAGTGGACGGGGGGGGGGGGGGGGGGGGGG